ACCCATTTTATGAAAAACAAGAAAGATACCATGATAAATGATCTCTTATTGAAATTTGTTTTATTTAACAGTACCTATTAGGGCAGATAAATAAAATAGGTTAGGTTCAACTTATGTCAAAGAACCGAATTGATTGACCCCGACTCCACCTGGTACGAGTCTGTCCTACCCCTAGAGTGGTTTTATAGAGCCGGAGGCGCGTAGGGGGAGCAGCCTCCGCCTGCTGCTAAGGCGTAGAGGTTGCTCTTCCCGCAGCGCCGGAGACGTAGCAGTCTCAAAATAGATACAGAAATCCTTATGAATCAGTCCCCTTATTTTTTTATGATGAAGGGGATTTTTTTCTCATAAAATGGATTTATATTTACATTATAAATGCAAACATGAAAAAAATATCGATATTTTAGAAATCGATTTTTTAGGAATCGATACATCAGCTTACGATTTGAATCGATTTAAAAATCGACCTTTTTCGGAAAGAATCGACATCCCTATTGACGTCGACAATGACATTACAAAATGGCGCCAGTTTATTAGCAGATTAGACATAAACATTGCAAGAATAATTGATTTTGAATTATTTTCTCAAAAATTACGCGTTTCCGTATATTGAGACTTTGTGTGTGTGCTTATGATAGTGTAATCTTTCTGTAAAAATACGTATCAACACCAAACTCCACTGACGTCAATGGAAAGTCGTACCAAAAGTAACTTTGACTAAAAAATATTGGTGATTTTGAGTGAAAAATATTAGTTAAAAGTAATTATGAAAAAGACTACTGTTAAACATTCGCTACCTGTGGTGCCATAAATCATCGGTGCACCAGGGACAGACGCTTGCAGTGCCTAACTTATCGAAAACTGCTTATTGATTCCTAGAGTAATGAAGAATAGTGTGCGCTAGAACACATTTGTAAAACACCACATTCAAAATTTCTAACGTGGAGCAATCAATTCAGTCATTGCAAATTTTACTGTGGAAAATTATATATATATAATATGTTCTACACACTAAAGCACTTCAAGAAGACTTGCAGAAAGCACATTTATGTGAGCAACTTGTCATTAGCATAGGTGATGATAGCGACAGTGACTCTGACTCAGACAAAGATTAATAATTGTATAGGTACCTATTTTAAATTATTATTAATTTTATTTAGTCTAAGAATGTATTTTTGACCAATAATAAATATAATTATTGAATAGTTTTCTTTTTATTTTGCATTCTTTACTTTTTCATAATATACACATCGACACGACAGTGGTGCATCACAATGCCTGCTGTAAGGCCCGTAAGTGCAACAGAGAGTACAACTGGTGGCGTCCTGATTTGCTATTCTATTTCATTGCAGGCAGCGAGTGTTTAACAGTAAAATAGTAGTTAAAATCACTTTTGACTAGGATTCTTTAGTAAAATAAGTCTTTAATATGACACAAAATGGTTATTGGGAACCAATTTAAAATCAAAGTAGTTTTAATAAATTAAAAGTTCAACTGTATTTACTGTTAACATTAAAATAAAATTATATATAGGTACATTTATTAATTTCTAAATTGATAAGATAATAATCGCCTCAATTATACTACTTTCAACACATACTTATAAAAACCACTAATGCTTACCTGTAAAAACCAAATAAGGTTATGACCCTTGTCAGTTATTTGACTATATTTTTTACCTAGATAACGAGTATAATTAATTTCTGCACCCTTATCTTCGGTGAAAAAATTATGGTCTGTTGCAATTATGTTTAGTAAATTCGCCATGAATATTGACGCTATTAATAATAAACAAACTAAAGAAATTGTAGCCTTAGAAACAATCATCATAAAAATTTAAGACGCTTGGTTTAATTTTACTTATTTGACTTTTTATTTGAATTGTAGTTTCAAAAACTTTTTATATTAGTAGTAGAAACAGAAAAGCCAAAATATTTTTTTATTCCTACGTCCAAGTTTACTAATTACTACTAGTAATTTACTAGTTCTGTCATTTGTCAATGACTAGGCATGGACCGATATATCAAATGGTAACTAATAATTATCATATCATATCATATCATATCAATAAACCTAAGTACATAACCGTTAACACATATATCCAACCAAAACCAACAAACCAACGTACTAAACCCTTGAATCAACAATTGTTGATCGAAGACTAAAGGTAAAATGCAAACTGGAACAATAAACAATATACCAACACGACCCACGAACAAACCAATGTCCTTCGTTGATATTCGTTGTTTCTCTTTCTTGCGACGGTATCATAAATACGTATATAAAGAGATGAAGCGGATATGGATTTCGTTGCGATGTTTTGGTAGTTATCACACAACGGTGCACGTAGTCTAATCTAATTACCTAGAGCAATAATATCAAATTTCCCTTATATATACAACCTGGCTATAAAATATTGCAAACATGACTAGTGTATGGATTAATCCGTTCCCCTAGGCACAATTTCAACCCTAAGTATTTTGTAACACTTCAATCTGATTTTATCATTAAAGCTGTATAGAAGCTGTTTTTTTTTTTGCTTGCTGTACCTTGCTTATACAACTATAAGTGTTATTATAGTATCACTATAATCTTATTTCTGGACAATGGTGTATGCAAACTCTCTTCTAAAATTTATTCTTATGGTGCCATTGTACACTTTTGTAAATACAGTAGTTTTATGACTTCTGTCTATGAAACTGATATAGAATTAAAAAAATAAAAAACAGCCATAGTACAACTTAAACCTGTATAAGTGATAGAATATCGCCATTTTGCATGCGCTGCGTGTTTATATTGTGCTAGTGAAAAAAATTAATTTGTTATCAATATGTGGCAAAAAAGAAAAAGATTTGGTGCAGTAAAAAGACCATGTTAAATCTTAATTAAATTTATCTAACACTATTTCCAAGATAAGATTTTTCATCTTTTATACCTATATCTAAAGAGAGTTATATGTTATGTTAAAAAACTACTATGCAGCGTAAGTAATAAAAATATCATTTTATAGAACTGATTAAAAACCAATAGCTGCATGATATATTCTATAACATACATAGTACAGCTACTAAGACTATAAGACCCTCGAAATAGCGTTTAGGCTGTTTAGCACATTGTCGATTTTAAGGCCCATAAAACAAAATTAAAAATAGAAATTTGGGAATATTAGACATTAGTCTTAGCTTATACCATTGTTTCAGTTTGACTAATGATCAATGATGCCCCAATGTGCCACCATATCCATTAATTTTTTTTATTCTAACCTATACCACCGATACGGTAACTAACCGTATTTAGTATTTTGTCGTTATATTACTTTGTTATTTTGCTGGCGCGGCAATTTTTTGATAGAAAACCTATACAAGTTAACCATAAATATAATTTTGCACTTTCAATTTACCAATTATCACCGTCAAAACTCAACTTCAATCCGAACATAATATTAATGTGTTAAATAATATTATGTTAAGATATTAAATATCGCCATCATTCAATAAACGTTCTTTTTGTTTTATATTCATTCGTAATTCCGCTCAAAAACCAATTTAGAACTTTTTTCTTTATAATTTACTTATAATTTATAAGACAATATTATGTAGTGTAATAGTTTCCTTACACACCAAATAACAGCTGTAATACAGCCTCTTTTACGCTCTTACAGCTACTGTACAGCGATACTAACGCATATTTTGTGCCAATTTTTTTTTTATAAGAACTGTAGAAGCGCTTATACAGACAGAAAATACAGCTTCTGGTATAAAAACGAACTTCAATACAGCTCGTATACAGCTTGCATGCTGCTTGGGTTGCCGGGTAGTCCTTCTCGTGTGTCATTGTACAAGGGTGGCCGGCCCCTGCCTCTGGCATGTCTTGGCAGCCGGAACTGACCATGATCACGTAAGCGCTGATCCGTCAGTAATATTAAATCGGTTTTGGAAATGTGAGGAGCAGTGATACCGCCCCTGCGAAACGATTGTGGGCGTTCTTCTTCTGCGTATATTCGTCTCGCATCGTCTAAGTTTTCATCAGACAAGACATAAAATCTCATTGCTAGGTGCTAAACATTAGAGTATTGGTACGTGTTTACGATAACTGTCTGCTGGCACAAGTTGCCGTTATAATCTCCCAAAACCTATGTAAAGTGACACAGTAAAGTAATAAAGGATTATTATCACTTCATACTGAGATAAATTAATAAAGGCATGGCTTAAAAAACAAGCATCCAAGCCAAAAGACCAAGCCAGAGAGGGTTCCCAACTTAGGGGTTTTCCCCATAAACTTGGGAGTAATTAAGTGGTAGGGGATTTTTGAGGTACTTTATTTTTTATGGGTATTTTAGGGACTTTTATATTTTTTTCCACTTTAGCTGATTTTTGTTTAGAAGTTAAAATAATTGCGGTGCAGTTGGCTGTAAAAATTTTGGCTGATAATGTTTCAAAATTCGGGCTGTATGTTTTGCAATAACCATCATGGTTGCAATTTCTTATAATCTATTGAAGTGTTACCAAGTGTGATGATAGTCTGATTCACATTACAAGGAAATAGCTAATAAATTATAATATTATTTAATCCATTTAATAAAATGTATGTTTATTTAATATTCAAATGTATGGTTTGAATACGTCGGAACCATTAAAAGAAAACGAAATAATATTTGAAATATTAAATAATATATATATTTAAAACATTACAAAGCATTGTATTTATTATTAGGACATTTCCAAGTAAATAAGGTGATTTTAGGGATTTTTGACTTAACCTTTAGTGGCAAATATTTTTTGAAGTTGGTAGCACTGACTGAAATTCAAGACTAAGTCTATAACCCGCCTAAGGGTATTAGTGTTCTGTGGTCTATAAGTCCATAACATAAAATAGATTAATTTGCCTAACTGATAAATTTTAATGACTTATTTCAATGCCTTATCATTTTTAATTTATTAACAACTTTGCAGGCATCAACGATAACTTAACTACACTACTACTAGCAGGAACGTTATGCAATTATGAATGATTTGCCGGAAACCAGTTGCAGCAACGACGGAGTGGATTTAGAAACTGTGGATTACCTCAGAGGGGTCAAGTCTTCAACGTGTTTACTATTGCCAATGACACCTAGCCCTACACCTTTAGACTTTAAGCATCCACTTTCAGAAGAAGCGAATGAAGGCCAATTCCTAGAGGATGATTCTAAAATTACTAATTTGCAAAATTCAGGTATTGTATTTGTAAAAATGCAACAGTTTTTTCTATATTTTGTATGTAAATAAAACAGTGTATTGTTTTCCTAATAGATGTATCCGCCGGCGATTCTAGCTCATCAGGTGATTCTAATTCCGTGGTTCAAGATCCTGTCAGTGCTCAGCTTATAAATAATATCAGCATGTTAGACTATCAAACATTAAGCAAAAATGGTGATCTTATTATAGGTCAAGTAAGTATTATAAAAATCAGTCTTACCATAAATAGGTACCTGGTAACTATGAAATGTACAATATATATATATATGTATATAATACACTGCCAACCAAAAGTTTGAAAACTACAGTTAAATAAATATGTTTGTTAATAATGTTTGCAGGATTTAATTAAATAATTTTAATACTTACATAAAAGTGTTGCATATACACATGTTATTGATAATATTGCTACAAATTAATAAAGTTGATGACAGGTCAAGTATGACATTCAACTCTATTAGCTGCTGTAGAATCTGCAGTCACTTATGGTTTGCTTCATATTTAAAAAGTAAGGAAGGCATTGGTCAGGATTTCGGGGTATTTTTGGAAATGTCGGGATTTTTGGTGAGTTCATGAAATACTAAATAAGTTACAACATTAAAACTAAATCAAATCAACACAATTAAAATTAAAATAATTTTAAATCTTTTAATCTACAAAAATGTACAAAATTGAATCAAATATTGTGTAAGTTTCACATAATATTTGAATGAATCCCTTTAATTGCATATACATATAAAATCTTTGTTATTTCACTTATCATCAATTCAAGATGCACATAACTAACTTTGCATCCACGTTTTAAAAGATTTTTAGGGTAAGTATGGATATTTTATAATTATAAAGAGCATTTAAACAAGATTTCAAATTAAAACATCATTAATTAATATGCAAAATATATATTCATTTTATTTACAGAGTACTTTCAGCAAGTTTTGAGTCAATCGCTCCGTAGCATAAAAACATTCATACAAACTATAAAAACCTATTCCACCTTCTTAGTTTTAATTTTCAAAAATCCTTTCTTATTGGATGCCTACTAAAAAAAACCTATGGTTCCAATTTCAGACTTCTACATACAGATGTTTGGGCTATGGTTCTTATAATATTTTTTTTTATATAAACTTCACACTTGTTTTAAAAACACATGGGTAAGTATTTGAAAAAATTAAAAATACCATAAATAATCTTTTCTTTCCTCAAATTTGAACATCCTATGCACCCCTCGCCAAAAAGGGGTTGTTTGAAAAATTGATACATATGCATTTTATTTACAGAGATTTTTTTTTTAATATTTGTATATATTATAAAGCGTCCGCTTCCTGCAATAATGTCATGACATTATATAGGTATCCAGCTTTTTGTCAGGATTTTCCAGTGAGACACCTGGTGACCCAACTCATAATTATGTGCAATTTCACTATAGCAATTTACTTATAAGTGTAGGAATTCCAAAAAAAAAATAGAGCAGTTTTAATTAATTCTACAACTAAAGCTGCAATCTTTGACCTAAATAAGTTAATAATGGGAAAAAAGACAAGACATGTTGAAGAACATGATATGGACACCTCCGAGTCCTGATCTTAATCTGATGATTTTTGTGAGCGTGATAAAAATGTTAATAGTTGGTAACACTCTTCAAGTTCGAATTTAAATACCTAATTTGCATTTGGTAGCACTGAAATTAATTTATGACACAACAGGAAACTACTAAGATAAGATAAATTTATGTGGCAAGTTGAAATTCATCAGCATTTTAAAACCATCATCAAAACAGAAGCACCAATTTTTGCAGTTCCAATAAAAATTCTGTCTAGCTAAAACTGTCAAAGGTAAGACGATGATGGTTTTACAGCAATGGCTACACTCAATATATTTACAATTGGCATACGGTTGAAAAGACAAGGTTAGCACATAATTTACAATTAACTTTGTGCCTCACTTCACCTGTTTTAGGGCTGGGTAAAGGTTTCGTAACATGCAACCTGAGAGGGGAGTGGGAGGGGAGGAGCGGGGAAGCGGAACCCTCCTTATGAAGAAATTTATAATTTTGGAGAAAATAATGTTTCATACAAGGTATGGTTTTGTCCACATATACATAATGTGTTGGCCAACTAATTAAGGACAAAGTTCTAAATAACCTAAATTATTTCCTACTTGATGCATAATTATTTTATTCATAAAGCTTGTTGGTTACAGCAACTAATGTTAAAAAGTTTGAAAATTAATATAATTTTGTACATGGTTGGAAAGGTGATCTGTCATTGGTTTTTGGTTTATTTATTTACTTGTATTAAAAATAAATAAACTACACCGATTCCAGTCATGGACAAAATTATAATAATTTTCTAACTTTTTAACTATTTTTATATAATGCATCGTTATGTAGTTCTGGCGGCACTAAATAAACTTATAAACAGGCAAATTTAGGTTTTTTCAAACAGTATGGAAGGCTTTTATATAATACTGTGCTGCTAATATAATGCTGTGCCCCGCGGTTCCACCCACGTCATCACGTGTCCAAGGTGCCCGACATGACCTATTTCAAGCATTTTATGGCTAATGTTTAAGCGTCGTTCGCGCGCCCAGCCAAGTATTCAATTATTGTAATTTTACATTATCTCTTAAACTATGCGTCCAAATAACATGGTATAAAGAACAAAGTTTATCTTCATAAAATTGTCTTCATGATGAAGGAACTTTTGTTTGTAAGGATAAATAGGCCATGCCTAATAATAATGCTCATAAATCACTTTTAAATTTTCAATATTTTTTTGTGACAAAATACCAAATTATGGCTTATATATAAGAAATAGACATATGGTATCGCGGACTTTTTTTTAGACGGATTAAAGGTCTATATTTTTCTAGAACATTGTATTTACGTATCCCTAACGATAACACCAGCGTACGCGGATAAATCATTTCGGGAGTGCTTTTTCTTTTGACTTGCTTAACAAATATCCATATTTAAGGCTAGCTGAGTAATATAGCTTAATGCTAGATAGCCTATACTATTCCACATGAATTTGGCTGTAATATACAAAAAGAATTTTTCAAATCGGACTGCTAGTTCCAGAGATTAGCGCGTTTAAACAAACAAAAAAACTCTTCCGCTTTATTATATTAGTAAGTATTAGTATAGATAAGAACAGAACACATAAGATATTTAATCAATTTTATAGTCATCATATGTAAAAAAAGAAATAGAACGCAAAGAAATCTCTGATAGGTGTTAATTCTTTGATGTTTAGTTTAATGTGTATATGTAATTTATATATTTATTGTTCAAATTCAACTGTCCTACTTCCTACTAATATTATAAACGTGAAAGTTTGTGAGAATGTATGGATGTTTGTTACTCTTCCCGGAAAAACAACTGAATGTATTTTAATGAAACACAATAATCATACATCAGAACAACACATAGGCTAATGATGCATATAATTAATAAAGATATTGTTTAAATTGGTCAAACTATAACGATACGTGATAAGTATGTCTGAAAAAATCTGTGTCATGAAAGGTATTTTGGCGTGCGGTGCAAAAACTGTAAGAGTTCCACAAATATGTGTGTTGATATTGTTTCTCCTAAATAGTTCTACAAAAAAATCCGCAACAATACATATATATCTTATATGCGTAAGCCATTATTACCAAAACAGTAAACCATAAATACAATAAAATTTGATACTTTATTTCCAATGCACATCTTGCAGTTATAAATAGATTTTATTAAAATAAATAATTTTATCGCTTCTGATATTTTTAGATAAACTTTGTCTTTTAAACTATGTAATTTGGTCAAATATTTTAAAAGTAACAGCGATATAAAATTTTGCGGTCAGGCGCGCGCAGGGCGGTCGGGCGTACTGCGGGCGAGGTGGGGGAAAAATTCGCTCATCGCCGCGTGACCAACCTCCTCTACCTCCTCACGCTGAAACCGCTTAACCGATTTAGATGAAATTTTGTATCGAGATAGTTTGTCACAGTGAAGTAAATAGGATAGCTTTAATCACGGAAATCATCCCTAAAGAAGGTGATGGAATTTACTATGAAAGTGCGATTATTGATGGATCTATGGTTTAAAGTATAATACCTACGCGGACGAAGTCGCGGGCAAAAGCCAGTTTCTTTATAATCCTTCAAGTTCTCAAGTTTATTTCATTATTGTTTTTTTTTATTATGATGCTTTCTAACTTTTGGTCAGCAGTGTACAATAGTAAACCAAAAAAAAATTCTCCTTTTAGAATAATTGATGAGACCTTTTGCCATCTATATCTTAATTATTATATATTTTGTTTTTTTTTTCAGACCGAAGGTTGTAAAATTAATGGCAATCTAAATGTTAACAAGAGAAAATTACCAAGCTTTGTGAATTGGAATTGGTTAATTATAAGGAAGGTTTTACTTTGGGTTGTCCTCTCTGGGCTTGTGGCTTGTTTAGGGGCTATCATAGCAATGGTTATAACAATACCTAAATCCTGTAATCCGGATTTGCCTTGGCACCAAGGAAAGGTATTTTACGAAGTATTTCCGGCTAGTTTTAAAGATTCTGATAATGATGGTATTGGTGACTTAAAAGGTCTAACAAACAAATTAAATTACATAAAGGAATTAGGTTGTATTGCAGTCAGACTTAATTACATTTTTGAAGCAAAAGATTATCCAACACATTACAATAACACTACTTCTTTATTAAAAATTGACAGAAGTCTGGGAGTTCTTAAAGATTTTCAAGATTTAGTGAAGGCGGTGCATGATAAAGGTATGTTCATTATTTTAGATATACCAGTTTTAAGTATGGTAGCACCTATAACATCTTTGAATCCCAACTATACTATACTTTTTGAAAATAATAGTTCACTTAGTTTTAATGATCAAATGTCTTCAGCTATAGCATTTTGGTCTCGTGTACAGAATGTTGATGGGTTTTATCTAAAAAATCTTGAAAACTTTGTTGATGAAGTTTATTTTGCCAAAACTCTGCAGACATGGAAACATATAATTGGTAACGGTAAAATATTAATTGCTAGTGAAAAAGCATTCGAACTTTCTAATGGTGATTCTCTTACAGTGTTATTGAATAGAATAGATCTTATAGATGTTCATTTAAATTTAAGTAAAGGTATTAAAGGATTGAAAAGTCATATAGAGAAAATTGTAACTGGTACTCTTTGGGCTAAACCACATTATCCTTGGATCCACTGGAATATAGGTAATATCAATAGTGAGCGAATATCAACGAAACATGTGAATAACACTCTAGCGTTAACTGCGCTTGAATTAGTTTTACCGGGTACAGTTAGTTTATTTTATGGTGATGAAATAGGCTTAGGTGGCTTTTCTCAAAACGAGGTTGAAGATGATTTCCATGAGTTCAAAAATATTCATAACATAGTCAAAATGACTTTTGCTGATAAAGATAACAATAGTGTTGGCTTTTCACAATGGAATTCTAAACCAATAACAAAACCTAAATTTCATTATATGGAAGTTATTAAAAGAATTATTGATATAAGGTTAACGACACCAACTATTTACTTAAGAGCTATTTACAAAGACGGTAGTGTTCTAAAAAATATGGAAATTCGTAAAACTGAAGAAAACCTAGTTGTTATTGAACGTTGGTATCCTCGCAGAAATACTTGCGTTTATGTTGCAAATCTTGGAAATACACCTATAACAACAGATTTATCAACAATGTTTTATGGAGGTACTATTGTGGCTGGAACAAACAGTTCTTTAGTTGGACAAGTTTTATATTTCGATCGCGTTACATTTCTTCCAAATTCTGCTATCATTTTGAAACTTGAAAAGTAGAATATTTAATAGTGGTGTCGTTCTAATCTCATGTCCAGTAAAAAGTCTTAATAAAATTTGTCTTAAATATTAGGTTAGATTTCAAAATACAGATATTGTGTAACCTCTGGTTAATTTATTCATATAATGTTTTTTAATGAAACGTAGGTATTTTAGTATACTGTTACTATCTTTGCGACCAGTATTTAATTAAACAGTAGAAAATTTGTTTTAAGTTCGTTATCAATAAAAACCTAAATATAAGGCACAATGTAAACAAACTAGCCTACAAAGCCTGTATAAAGCTAACGTTTGAAAAAAACCCAGTTATTTTATTCTATGGATTTAAACAAACGATGATTTAAGTGCAGTTAGGCTCTCCGTATAGCTTAGCTCAATCTTATTTTATCATAAAAGAACTATGAGCTCCCCGAGATAAATAATACGTCACTGATGGATGGAACTTTTTTGATGGCTTACTGCGGGCTCGATGGTAAATAAACCATCAAGTTCTCGAATAATTATAGGATTTTTTTATTCTCTTAAGAATGAGATGCCTATATCAAGCAAAAATAGGTTCATGATTTTTATAAATCCTTTAAGTGTATATATTATGTTCTCTATTTTTACTTGTATGTTATTTATATACTATATTACATACATCGTCGAGTCGTTAAAAAGCTTTGTTATAATTTTTGATTATATACTTGATATTATAATCAAAGGTTTATTTTACCTAGTATTTTTTTATGTTCTGAATTGTGGGTAACCATTACTTTTCTACCGACTTAAAAAAGGAGACGGTACTCAATTCGACATTTTTTTTTCTTTTTTTATGTGTTACCCCATAACTTTTCTGGGTGAACCGATTTCGATGATTCTTTTTTTATCTGAAAGCTGGTGCTTCTCATGTGGTCCCATATAAATTTGATCTAGGTCTGACCAGGGTCTAGGTTTTTGAGTTATTCTTAATAATTAATATTGAAGTCTGTTAAAATTTTTAATTTTAAATTATTTGTTCTATAAATACTTACCAAAGAAAAACTATAATTTCTTTATAGGAAAAATAAAATGAATCTCTCAGATCTGTATAGGTATTTTACTTTTATTTTACATTTGTACACATTCAAAATTTATGTGCTTTCTTATTCTAAGAATTCTTGTGGTATATTATGTACATGACTGTAGTTAAATAAATATTCTTAGAAATTATTTCATTTCTATTATTTTACACAATTAAACGGGCGACTCAAGTTTATAATCAAATATTAGGTATATGTCTATACCTCTGATTAATATAAGTTATTGAGTATTTATTCTTAACATTGTTTTAATAAAAATATACTATTCAATAGAGAATTAAGGAAGTCTGTAAAAAGTTCAATAAATACATTATAAAAGCTATAGCAACATGGTATTTTAGAATTAATGTATAAAGCATTATTACGGAAAACTACCTGTATAGATTTACAAATACTAATTATTTAACTCATTTACAAAACTTTTAAGTTGATCTTTTTAGAATCTACCTATATTCTGTTTAGGGTTGCAAAATAAAATTACTTTATATAATCATAAACATAAAGAAGTTAATCTCATTATTTGTTTCTAATTACTGTTCCCTAATGATATAGATTAGAAAAAATAACAAACCTTTAACTATCTTGTTTTGGAATAGAAAAATACCATGTTAATTATTTATGTAGGTAGATATAGCCTGACCAGAAAAAATAAAACTAATGACAGCACTTCATATTATGACCATAAAGAGTAATGGCACTATGAATTAGCCTACAGCTATTTTTGTGCCTGTTACTATTTTACTAAAAAAGCGCTTTTCTTACAAAATAGACTTGCAGCGAATAGTATATTCGGCCACACGCCATACACTGAATATTCTGCGGGCTTCCTGGCCAAATAGCTGAATGTTAGGCAAAAGTATTTCGGCCGGGAAGAAGCACTCTACATTCAGTGTCTTTTCTCTGAAGCTGGTATTGTCTACGAGAAGAAGAGGAGTAAACTACTGTTAAAAATGCAAGAAAATAGTTTTACCGCACCATAATCTTCCACTTCTAAATTTTAATTACTATAATTCAAGATCATAGAGAAAAAATCAAATAAACGTCTATGCCATAGACGTTTATTTGATAGTTTTTTGTTAATTTTTATAATACGGGAGTTGATTAATATTTTCATTTCACCAATTATTTGACTACAACAAAACATTTTACAAAAAACAAAACATTTTAATAATTTTCGGTATTCGACCGAATAGGATAAAAGTAGCCCAATAGGCCGCATACCGAATAATAGCCGAATATTCGTTGCAAGTCTACTTACATACATGTAAAATTCTTGTTCTTTCTTGCCTATTTGTACAGAAGCACATTTCTTTCTATGTACGTTCATTCTTAATAAAAGAACGAAAACTATTTCCTACATCAGACCATACTGTATAAAATAGTTTTCGCTCGCTTTAGCATATTCTGTTTATTGTAAATGAATTATAAATATTATGTGGTTTTGTACATTTCCGCATAGTGGCGGAGATTTTAATTTTCCTGGATAGGCTATAGCTTAAAAATACTTGACATTGGAATGTTCAATACAATTATTTCCTTGAAGACATGGTTCTCCTCAACCATACCCCGAATTTTATTATGCCGGGATATATATATAGTGAGGAATGTCAATTGTGACTCAATATTTTAGGAGATGAGCCTTTTGGGAGGATTTTAGGCTGAATTCAAGCTAGCAGGCTTTCCTCGAAAGATGTGATTCCCATTTCAAGATTTAACGAATAATCGGATTCGAAACATATCGCTGCAAAAAAAAACCAAAGTATATGAATATGTCATATGCTTTGTGAAGTATTTTGGCTCGATGATTATATATCATAGAATAACTCAAAGACGCCTACGTCTTTAGCTGTGAAATATGTTTGAAAATTTAGTGACTACTAGTTTTAAAAATTTAACAATAGAACTTAAGTGGAACCTACAGTGCTATGTCCCTTTTAATTTCGATACAGTCTTGTGAAAACCTTGCTTTTATTTTAAGTAAGAAGCCAGCGACACTTTTTTTTTAAAATATTAATCTATACGTGTAAATAAAATTTAAATATCTGTCTGCAATATCGAAATAACTGGCTTTATAAAGCTCAGGTCTTTTAAAGTCTAATTAGGCACAATATCTTGACACATATTTCACAGCGTATACCAGAATCAGGCAGGCATACGAACAACTCCGGTTAAATTAGAGCGATATGTTTCAAACCCATACCTCTATAGAGCGTAGGTTGTATATATATATAAGTATAGAGGTCTGTGTTCAAACTCGATATATGACAGTCACCAATAAGTCACTAAATCTTGAAATTAGAATCACATTTTGAACACAGCAGAAGCTGCCAGTTAGAATTCTTAAATTGTACTAAAAAGTGCTTGAGCTTCGAAAGTACTGAGTACCACCAATTTTTTTTTCATCAACTAATTCCTCACCAAATCCTAGCATAATAAAATTCAGGTTCGCATCGGAGAGGAAACCGGCTTGAAGGACGCATACAATTTTAGCACTCATTAGGCACTATTTAACACTATAAAAATACTTTTTCGGTAATATAATAAATAACCAGATTTATTAAATTTTGAAATACTATAAAATTTAAAGATACTATCACGTACTTTAAAAAAATTGTAAGAAAATTGTCACCTATTGAATCGAAATTTCCTGATAAGTTACTAATTTCCTTAATGTTATTCGTTTTCAATCGTAATTTATTAAAATACGTTTGAAAATAATTCATTATTTATATTAAATAATTCAATAAATACAATATTAAACCAACTAGGTTTATTGTAAATTATTTATTTTTTATTTCTATAGATAAATATGGTTGAAAATTTAGATAGGTCTCCTGCAAAAGAAAACCGTTCAAAATCGGTTAACTAACTTTGGAGATAATGCGTTGTATGTAATACATTATCTTAAGTTCTATGATGATTTAAAAAAAATAAACAGTCGAATTTCTCAATTCGTACCATCTTTTTTACGCATATTGGAATTTCGACTCAGTAAGAAGTATCTACTACTGTCAGTCTTTTAGGTTTTATGAATAAGAGATGCATAGCACTGGAAGGATTCACAAGAGAAAAGTTGAATTAGTAGTGATGTCACGTATTGGGTTGAATTTTCTTATTTTTAACAACTACACTTGGATGCATTACATATGTATTAGACGTAGCTCTAGGAGTGTGAGTTTCAGCACCGGGTAATGCTGGTAGTTTGTCAGTTGGATTACGTATTAAAAACTTTTTCTGAGCCCCGATTACTGTTCTCTTAGAATTAATTTCTTGTTTATTCTTACGATCTACATTATCGGTGGTGTTTTGGACAGTCTTGGTACACTTGAGTTCACTTTCACAGTCACTACCTGTTTGTTTCACTAACTTCGGTGCACCAAAAGCTTTTGTTTGTTTTAGCAATGAACGATCATTACACAACGCCGCTATAAGGGGCAAGTCTAAATTCTTGCTCTTTTCCCTAAGAGTTTTTATATCTAGATCACAATTTGAATCTTTTATTTTAGATACCACTGTATCACTTTTGAAATTAATATTATAATTCGGAATTTTTGATTCCCTTAAATGTGTAGGCAATTTCTTCTTATATTCATAAGGAGGTGGTGGAGGGGGCGGCATTCGTCTCAATTTCACCGGTTGCGGATTTTTGACGGTTAAAATATTCTCATGAGATTTTGTTTTTGAGAAACTAGCAACCCCTGTAATACCAGATTGCAGTGGTGGTCGTTCCAGATTTATGGAATGGTTGCTGACAGACGTTCTGCTTGTCATTGAATACCAGCTGGTTCTCACACCTGGTATTTGAATATAAGAATCTGACAGATTCTGAATCGATCCATATGTTGATGACGCCGATAACGAAGTTGACAAATATGGGGTACTTCTATATTGAAGGCTACTTTTATGGATATTTGATATACGAGACTCTGTTAGTTTATGGTCGAGGTAGTTTTGTTGTGACACTGCTGGATCTTGCAGTGGATAGTAAACGTAGTCTACGTCACTATACAATTGTTGATGGAATATGGGATTTTGTGGCGGAGGAGGTGGAGGAAGACGAGTCGTTGGTGGTGGCGGAGGAAGTCTAATATGTCTTGGTGGTGGCGGAGGTGGAGGCAGTTTCATCATAGCCACGAATACGTTTGAATCAACCCCATGAAGGGGCATATCTCGCGAAGGTGACAAACTATTGCTAATGCCCTGCGCTAATTTTGACCTTTCGGCTCTGCGACTAGATGCTTGATGTCTCTTAGATTTCTGGAATCTGTGTTCTAATATCATAGGACTTGCAAATGTCCGTTCGCTTGAAGCATTAACTTCACCCGCCTCTGCTTTTAGGATAGTTATCATTGGTTTAGAGGTTACTACTCTAGCTGCTACTTCTTCTTTTCCACCAGACTGATTTTTACAAATCGATGTCGTTCCAGGATAGGCAGGCGGTGGTTTTATAGATGTGGTACTATTTAATGAAAGAGTCTTATGATTGTATTCATAAGGGGGTGGAGGTTTTTCTGGAAACCTTGGCGGTATTGGTACGCTTCTATCAATTTCTAAAATATTTGGCAATGATAAATTATGTGATTTATGGCTATCAATTCTTGTTGGTGGCGTTGGGGGCCGGTCGAAGAAGGAATTGTTAAGGTAATTTTCATCTGATGGAGCAGTATCCTCGTGTCCTTGAAGATAACTGTCACCAGAAAATGGCAGAGGCAATCTAACGTAATCAGATACGGAATCAAATGTGTCACTCACTGACTGACTTTTTGGGTATACGCCTCGCCCTACGATCAGGTCACTTAGCTCACTCGCACTAAGCAAATTATGTTTATTGTCCGTTGGATCACTTCCGTCGCCATGAAAAGAAACAGCGCTCACATTAGAATTGGCCCGTTCGCGAAACATACTATCCTTCTCCCCACAGTTTTGGTTAACAAACTGAGTTACACCGTCAACACAATCTGCATTAGGTAGGGATCCTTGCAGTCGTAAAGTACCAGATGATATAGCTGCTCTTTCCGACTTGTTTTTAAGTATGGAAGAAACACTATCGAAGTCAGCAAGGTCATTTTCTTTTGGTGTTTTGTAGCTATCATAATGCGAGCTCCCATATTCAGTTCTACTGTCTTCAGACAAGGTGTAAGCCTTCGACCGAGCGGTTAGCTCAGAGCTACCCATTGTATAAACTCCGCTTGTTTCACTGGACGCAGCAACCGTTACTGGTTGACCTAATCCATCATACAAAGCGGAAGCTGTGTCTTGAGTGTATTCGGCATCTATACCAACCGTGCTATTATCACTAATCATTGAATTTTGAGCCGTATGGCTATAACTTAGTTCTAAACTGCTTCCATTAGACGCTCTGCTTAGCGTACTAAAACCCGCTCGATTCATTATAACTGTGCTACAAGATGAAGAACATTGCGAGCCTGGACATTTAATTTTTCCAGAAACAGGGCTGTCGCATAAGGTTTCGTTGGGACTTTGATCTGTTAAAGATAGACTTTCTTCCTGACTTGTAGAGTTTTGTCTATGTAACGATATTTCATTGTTAGATGAACTTTCCCCTTGTTCCCTACCTTTTTTTATTCGAACTTTTGACTTCTGGATTTGTAAGGATGATGTTTTTTTGAGTGGTTGATTATCTTGTGAAATGTGCCTTATAAGGTATGAGTTTGAACAATCTAATAAATGAGCGAATGCCAAACTTTCAGTGGAAGGTGCTGGAGGTGAGTCTATCATTATTTCTAATTCGTCTTCTGACTGTACTCTGTCGCTTACAATTCCTGAAGTCGTGTTAGAACTAGTGGACGATATAAGGGATATTCTTTGCTCATTTTTATTTTTCCAAAATTGTAAATTTAATGATTTTGAGTATCCGTAACATATTTTACGTTCTTCTTCTTCTTTTCTCAAAATTTCGTTAAGTTTTGATGAAATCTTCATTGAAAATTGATGTGTTTCTTTACAAAGTGCGAACAAATACTTGCATTTTTCCTCACTAGAAGAATACAACGTCATTTTTTCCTGTTCAGTTCGTATTTCAAATTTCTTGCGATCGAAACTTAATTTACCTATTGAACTCCATACAAAATTTGAAACTGGTCCGCAGTCTGGTAGTATTTTAATTCCTTTTGCAGTTACAAGTAACCAAACAGTCCCGGGTTCCAACTCATTTTTAGCTTGTTTTAAGCGATATCTATGAGAATTAATTGTATCTGGAAGTAAACAAACTTCACGTATAAATCTAGTTTCAGCGTCTGCTTTTGATAAACCGTGGTGTTCTTGATGACAGGCGCGAATTGCAGCATTTACCCAATCGCCGCTTAGAGAATTAGGAGCGTAGTCTTCCAATTTGAAATAATCTTCATCTTCGTACGCCTCAGCATCTCCATACTTCGCTTGTAATGCCAACCCGATGAGTAGTAATAGTATCTCTGTTGGTAATCCGTCTCTTGTACGTAAATTGTGAAGTAATTGTAGAAAATATAAATGGCGTCCAATTTCGTCGTGTAAAAGCAATGGACTCTCTACGTGAAACTGAACAACTAAGTGTAATTCAAGCAGCGGCTTTCCATTGGCGTCCAAGCCCTAAAAGCAAAATAAAGAATTCTTACAAAATACATATAAATAAATATCTTTAATATGATTCATTGTCACTTAATATAATTTTCTCAAATAGGTAGGTACTAAAGTCTCTAAATGTTATTAAAAAATACTTCAACTTACATGTGTATGGGATGATCTCCAACTCTTTGGTGCATATTTTGATAGTTTACTCTCCAAATCAACAAACAAGTACTCTCCATCTGTAAAATAATAAGATGCATTTTTAGTAGCTATACGTTTTTAAACCCTTCCTAACACATAAAATCCGTAAAAATAAACTGAAATACATTACTTTGCATAATGGCTAATCCGAAGAGTTCCGTGTCGGTCATGCCTTGTAGCTGGGCATGAGAATTCGCCAAAGATTTCAGTTCTTTGACTCTCGCTTTCGCTTCGACGACAAAATGAAGCGGTTGAGGCTGGCCGGGCATATGTAGGGACAAAAGGCGCGCGCCGGCGCCGAGCGCGCGCGTGTCCCCGCCAAGCGGCCCGCGAACCGAACACAGAGCACGCATGTCGCATCTCGAGACCACTGTTACTCGCCCTGAAAAAGAATAAAGTCACTAGAAAAACGTTCTAATGATGAAGGTGTTTACAGTACTTTATTTAACCGATAAAGTTCGCCTATTGAGAGATTGTAAAATATAGATAGTTAATTTTGCTTGATGGTTGCAATTATTTTGTATTGTTATTAACTATCGATATTAGAATAAGAAAGTAGTTCTATTAGCTTAGGAAATATCCTCGAACATACATGATTAACAGCATCATAATATTTAAGCCTATGGCAGATACAAACCTCTCCCCTTAAGATTCGTTTAATATTACTTTACTTTAATATTTACTTAAGAAAACCAGAATAATAAGTAAATTAAACTGAAGATGCTACAAAATGTAAAATAAAACAGAATAAGCATTTAAAATCTTTATCTAAAGTATCCCGACCATTTGCGAGCAGCGGATCGCATAGTGACTAAGTATAGGTACTCAACAAGACTGAAGGGACAAAAAATAATAAATAAATAATTCGCCCCTATTTTAATACAATAATGTATATGTCAAAATATACAAAATAGAACCGTCATCAATTTGGTATTTATTAACATCCTTGTAAGTTGATAAAAGTTGGTTTCGTTTGCATTTCATATCTTCTGTATCATCACGAGTCGCGACTGATATGAAATATGAATGTAATGACTAATGATTAATTATTTGTGTCCGGTGTCGTTACGTCTATAGGAGGTTATTTTTAGCTAATTTTGAAAAGAGTTATAGCTTTAGGTTACCAGAAATTGTGCAGTATATTTTATAATATTGTAGGACGCAAACACACCGACGATCAATCGTTCCTTCTTAACATTTAAATTTGCAAATCTGTTATCCTGATCTATGAGAAGATCAATCTTTATTTAATATATAATAATAATTGATGCGTCCGTTAGTGATCGTGTAACTTGTGGACGAGTAGACCGATTAAGGTCATATTCATACAATAAAATTGTTTTGTCGGGCTAGAATCTACGCTATGCTTCTAAGTCATAACTATTCGCTAGGTGTTGCTGTAGTCAAGTTATCAACATCCTAAGAGTATATTTATGGACCAAAATGACTCATCTACACAATATATATGTTAGTTTAGTGCCAAAAAAGAAAATCATAATATCAGGACCCGATAAGGCAAGATATTAATAAATTTTATATATATTTTATTTATAGAATTATGGTGACAAGCGTGCACACCGCTCACCTGATGGCTTTTTTATAGGATAAGGGTGAAAAACGAGCACAGAGTCCACCTGATGGTAAGTGGTTGCTGTGGCCCATAGACATCCACATCTATCCTCGATTAAAAATCAAAATGCAGATACGTTGTCACCCCAGAGGAGTGAGGAATAAGATGGAATGCCTCGTATCCAGTAAAAAGGGTTTACGGTTCTCTACACTCACCATACGAATCACAGCAGCATTTATCTGCTAATTTACGCTGGTATTGGTCCTTCCCCGTTCGAGCCGACCCATTCATGCTATAACCATAAGATACGCTGCAGCACGATAAATTCGGAGTGAAACTCAAAACGCCACCAACCGGAAAGGGTAGAACAACGTCTGCCACGCCAGCAGTATAAAACTAAATTCTAATGACAATAGTAATAACATAATGATTGCCTGGCCTTCAACCAACTACGGATAGCACTTTGTTTTTTCTATGCATTAAGCTTTACATTATAGGTATCTATATTATGTAGATGTTAGAATTTTTAACCGTATATTGTATTCGGTAACACTTGATTTATTGATACGTTAGTTAATGATTTCACGTATTCAAACAAATTTTTATATAACTGGTAGGTACCCGGCGCATTGCTGCCGCAGAAGAAATAATTGTGGAAATATTATTTTGAATTTGGAAGAGTTATATATTATTATGATATGATATTACATTCATTGGAATATATTAGGTATATAACATTCAAATAATTTTGTCGGCACGATACGCGCGCCACCTACTGTAACTTAATTGTAGCAATAAGCTGACAAAGTTTTACCATAATCTGATGAACGGTATGGCAGAGCATAAAATACGAGCAAACAAAAAATATTTTTTATATGTAGGTATATTAGATCTTATAGAAACGTATGTGAAAAGAAAATCTTTCGCTCTATTCACCCAAGGCTACACAGAACAGGCAGGAATGTACAGATCTGCGCCATCTGCACATTCCACTGCAATAGATTTTTTTAAGACTATTTTACTACCTGCTTTTGAAGTCAACATTCCTGTATTTGCTTACTAGCTTTTACCCGCGACTTCGTCCGCATAAGTTTTTTTGTTTTCTCCCGGCTATAAGTCCCCCTGCAATAATGTCCCACTATCGTGTTCCAGTCTTCAACTTCACATCAAAATTTGTTCAAAAGCAACCTAAGCTACATAATGGATAGCTCCGAATGTTTCCTTAGTAAATATAAAAAGTAAATAATGTAAATCGGTTTAAAATACTACTAACTACCTACCTGCCAACCCCCGATGTTAGACAGTGTGACATCCGTAACATCGTCTGCGTAGGAAGTACTAACTTAATGTAAGTAGTATAATAATGTAGGAAGCTAAAAATAAGAGGCCTTATTACTGTAGTACATTTTTGTAAACTATGTTCTTTGTTTTTCCCTCTCTGGCCAACACATGGAGATTCTGTGGACTTGAAACACGTGAGCAAGCCACGTATAATTGTCCGTGAGAAAAACAACTCTTTTCTAAATTAATGCCGGCTACTTTTAATGTTTGCCCCTGAGCTTTATTTATCGTCATAGCGAATGCGATTTTCAGCGGAAACTGTAATCTCTTAAACTGGAATGGCAAATCTGTCGGAATTATGGGTATACGGGGGATTAAAACGTTCTCTCCTTTTGCCATTCCAGTCATAATGATTGCTTTTACAATATTGCGACCGAGGTGTGTCACTTGCAACCGTGTGCCATTACACAGTCTTGGTGCATCTAAATTCCGCATTAAAAGGACAGGAACGCCTACTTTCAGCCTCAGTTTGTGTGAAGGTACTCCCGACAGTTCTAAAGAATTAAGAAATTCTACAGGGTATGATGTTACTTGTTCAGTATCCATTACAGTGTCTACAGAGAGAAACTCAACAATATCACCTTCCACGCGTGACATAATTTGCTCGTTTATCTGTCCCACCATTTCATTCGTCGGCGCTAAAATTGCTCTTTCACATAACCAGTCTCTATTCCTCATATTAGTTAGCAGTTCGCTATAGACGAAGTTATTTAGATCATCTGGATTATGCACAACATTGCAGAATTCACGATCCAATGTAATCATGCCATTACCATCCTTTGCCATACGATCTTCTCCAATTTTAAGAAGAGCAGCAGCATATTGTCCAGATTGTACATCATTGTGTAGTTGCACTCTCATATTTGTAGACAGACTAAACGTTTTTACGTGCACCCATAACGTTGACGCTTTTAAACACGCATTTATTTCATCTGCAGGGGTGCCTTTAGTGATAACCGGCAAAGTCTGTCTAAAATCGCCCGCTAAAAGTACCACCATCCCCCCATGATATTTGGATTACTCTTGATGTTTTTCAAAGTCCGATCTAGAGCTTCAATTGCTCTTTTATGGGACATAGTACACTCATCCCAAACTAATAATTTACATTGCTGCAACATACGTCCACGCTCGCTGTTTTTACTTATATTGCAGACTGGCATTTCTTCATGGGCTAAGTTTAATGGCAGTTTAAGCACCGAATGTGCCGTTCGACCACCATTGAGCAGAGTGGCGGCTATTCCGGAAGAGGCAACTGCTACAGCAATTCCTTTATCTTTTCGGATTTGCGCTAAAAGCAAGTTTAAAAGAAAGGTTTTTCCCGTGCCTCCGGGAGCAGCCAAAAATAACAAACCACCTTCGCCATCTTCGATTTTTTTGAAAACATTGTCAAATACTAACCTTTGTTCTGGGATCAAACGTGGAACAGACTCTGTCAATTGTTGTTGTAAGGAAGCAGTATCGTAATCTAGTTCCCGTATTAAATCGCTACTGATTTCCTCGGTTCTCTGTGGTCTGATCATTCCATAATCTGATAAATCCTTTCCAGAAATTGTTTTAACCTGGTCTTCAATTTTTGTCAGACCCTCATTGTAAATTAAATCACTGTACGTGACATTGGGATTTTGCTCTTGTAATCTGTGCAATATATCGTCGGTCATAACATTTTTGTATTTATCCCACAATTGTTGAGGATTTGAAAGACCACACGTCGCTACTAATACAGCAAATAGCTCTCTCATCTTGCCTGCTGATCTACATTGAGCAGCTTCTTTCAGTGTCACATCCCAATGGTTGTCATTCTCCAGTAATCCTCTTGCCTCACATGCCTCTCGAAATGTAGGATAATCTTGTGTGTTGTATTTTTTTAGATCATTGAAAGAGGTAGGTCCGCGCACATGGTGTAAAAGCATGCGTAGACAAAAACATTCCATGTTACTAACATGAACTGTATAAACTCGTCCTAAAGCATCTCCAGATTTGACGCCAGGCCAATCGTGAACTGAAGTACCTTGAATGCGGCGTTTCCAAGTTTTCCTACTTGCATCCCAAGTATAATACCTCGGCACCTCGACATAAAGAAGAGTTTTTGCAAACTCATCTCTGATACAAAGATAAAAAAAAGCAGTGAGTGTGGTTTTTGGCGGAGTAGTTATTCGTTCGTGGAAATTGTGTTCATTAAAATAAACGCGTTCACCATTTTCTAAATGCACGCTGAGATGTCTCACGGTGGGATGCCTTTCGTGCAACGGAAATGCTAACAGACGCCACACGGCTTCGTTGCTGCTGACATACCGACCAGACTGATAAGTTTGTACCTCATCTACGGGATTCGCAAGATCAGTATTTCTAAAATTGAAAATAGCTTGATCACTACCCTTGTTTATATATTTGCAAATATATTTGATGGCGCGTACTGAACTGCATGCCTCAACATTTATGTGG